TACTAACGAATTATATAATCAATACACTCCTTTGATTTTATTCAGGAAAATATGAATTTGTACAAATAGTCCACGGTCTACTCATAACGTGAACTATATTTTTTTGAAATTCGAAAAGAACTTGTTTTCTAATTCGTTCAATTTGTCTTTCAGGTCCAGGGTTTGCAGACGCTGATCCTAAACCAGAATCCAAAACTTGGGGACACTGGTTTGAAGCAATTAATCTACGCGTTAAAGAGCGACGTCTGGCTGAGATCCTTGAGTTTGAGACACTGTGGCATCAGCAAACACGGAGCGGAAATGATGATTCGGCTCTTACAATCAAATACCAGAATCACGAGGCTAGATCTTACTGAAAATCGTATACCTATTAACACTCTGCAGATGATATTGAGGATACTGAAGAGAAGGCGAGAGGTAGTCGAAAGTATGAAGACGAGACTCTGCATGGATTTGCGGCGAGGCATGCTGAATAAAAATGGAATCCACGGATTTCCACAGAAACATGGGAAAAGTTTACAAAACAAAACAGTGAGTTGATAAATTTCTCTACAGATTCCTTTGTAAGTTGACACTGGAATTATTAGCGTGATCAGAATTATCTGTTCGTAATTTTTCACACAGTGAAATTTTACAATAATTCTGGGAAGATTTTGTAATCCTTAAGGTTGATTTTTCATAAAATGTGTACGTGTAAGACTGTTCACTTTTCTGGCATACATACCCTCTTAAAAATCTTACAATTTCTATTTTGATATTCAGCACTTGTGTAGATTGCAGGATCTTTGAATTGCATTGTAATCACACAAATGATATTAATATTTAATTTATAAACATTGCATTCTTATATTATAATTGTATTGTATTAACATATTGACACCTACATTACGAATAATAGCACTTGTCCAAAGATTTTTAAGCAGGGATATTTTTCGCTGATAGTTCTAACAAACTCTGACATTTTTTTCTTTTTATATATATGTATATATATATCTAACTATCTTTTGCAAATATTCACCTAGGAGAGACTCAAGAAATATTCAGCGCGGAGACATCGTTGGAAGAAGATCCAAAGATTCGACAAGGGAATGAGGCAATCAAAGGAGATAGAAGTTTCCAAAGAAGATCAAAGTCGAATGAAGAAGCTCGGTAACCTGGAATCGCAATTGTCAAGTCTAGTCGAGTCGAATTTCAAGCTGAAGGAGGAACTTTCGAGCAACAAAGCGCTGTTAGACGCGGAAGCGCGGCAAAGATCGAGAATGGAAGACGAATTACAGAAAGTGTCGCTTCGATTGAACGATCTTAAAAGCAAGGTTGTCATGTTAAATTGCGTTTCCTCGACAGCCTGCAACGAGAGTCATTTGCTAAAGGGTTTGAGGTACATTTTCGAGAAGTTGGAGTCGTCGTTCTCGATCGCGGCACAGAAGGACGAGGAAGCTGTTCTAAACAACGCGGAACCATTATGGTCGTCACCGTTGGCACATCAGATGGAAGACAATTTCGTAAATTGCTTACAACGAAGCAACGTAGCTTTATTCTCCGCTGAAAATATTGCCATGTGAATTTCATCCAATCCATTTCTCAACATGTATGTAAATAACATGCAATCCACTTGTACGAAATGTATTTTTAACGACAGAAGCATATATTTATATGATTTTAAACTGTATTTTGATTCTGTGATTATTAGAATAAATTTGGCAAAGAAAATGTTAATTTTAATGACCGAACATTCTTTATCGATGTCGACTTGGTACTTGCACTGGATCAGGATACTTCTCTCCCGAAGTAAATGGCTAACTGAGAGACAAATCTATATAATTGGCCATCTTTGTACTTTCTCTCTCTCTCTCTCTCTGCGATAAACTAAAATATGAAAGACCTTCTTGCAATCGCAGAGTAGAATTTTGGTACCAATTTCGGTCTTATTAATGTGACTCTTATCTTGCGAGTAACTATTAAATAAATTTGATTCTCAAGTTATAAATTGTGTCTATAATTCTTTTGCACGAAACCCAACAGCAACTTATCCAATGATCCTAGAATAACCAGGCCTTAGCGAGAAGTATCGTTAAGGAATTTTGCATTAGCATTTCGAATTTCGTAGTGAGAAACTTGAAAAATAGTTTTATTTATAAATGAAGTTGCAAAGTTTGTAAAATTTTGTTTGTTTCGGTTTTTAATGTTTATTCACATTCTGAATATAAACAAACAAAAATTTTCTTAATTTTGTCGAATTTCAACTATTCGAACTACGGTAAATAACGGAAGCAGAATTGGAAGGCGTTAGACTCATGAGTCATAGCAAACTGATAAACTTTGGTCAAAATTTCTAACGTAGTTTGCTACTAATTAAATATCATCCACAGTAATGCTTTGAGCTGAGGATCTATCATGAAAGATGCAGTTGCATAAGTTTATAAATTAATTCCTTTAATTAGTTTCTTTGCAAATGAAAATTGAATTTATTAAAAGAAACGAAAGACTTTACAATAGACAGCCCACAGTCGTATTTAGATTATAGACAGACTGATTTATACTTTTTTAATAAATATATTACGAGAATTAACAAGAAACAACATCTGTTATTTATTATTTATTTTAATTTATGTATAAAAAAATCTTTGTGACGACTGCTTGCTTTGCTTGATTCTTAACAATTGAAATTATAATATATTTTCCGCTATTTTATTTTGTTTTTTCTTTAGTTGTAATCGACGTCGTCGCTGTTAAGCTCGTTTTAAAAATACGCGCGCCGCCACAAGGTAAGTTTGGCGCCATCTGTGGCATTAACTGGAACTCTAACGTCTTTCTGAATCTATTTATTAGTTTCTGCAATGACTTTCCAATGGCAGCACATGGCTAATTCTTGTTGTATTTTTTGACTTCAGTTCCCTGATACTCGTACAGGTGACAACACTTTCGTAAACAACACGCGACAAGGATAGAGCGTCCATCACGTTTTTACAAAGATTGTTAGAATGTGCGAGAAGGATAGAAAAGTATAGCGTTAGACAGAGGGAGCAATTATTAGTACGATAAAGATGGAAGTAGCAGTTAGTCAAACCGTTTCACCGCTATGCGACGCTAGTGTTTTCGAGTCTATAAATCGACCAAATATCGATTTGCAAAAAAAAAAAAATTTTAATAATGGGAATTAATTTGAGAACTTTCGTAATTAAGTCTTCTTAATTGGACTTTCAGCTTTCCTTCTGTACCCCAGTTGACCCACAAAATGCTGTGTATGAATATCAAAAAATTCATTAGGTAAAGTGCAGTTACAGAGTAAATTATTTATTTTTGTGCTTTTCTCTTTACCTGACGATATGTAAAAAAATTCTGAAAATATTCCAGGATATTGTGGGCAGAGTAATGTTTGTTAGAGGATTTTTTTTTAGATTTTTTCATTACGAATTATAAGTGAAAAAAATAGAAGATCCTCAAATCTATTGAAAAATATGGATTTCATATTGAAGCTTCAGGATGACCACTTTTTTTGTTTTTATAGTAGGAACATGTTGGTTATTATTTTTCAATTTTTTGTTAGTAGCCGTATGTCGTAATTTAAAAAAAAAAAAAAAAAAAAA